TTCATAAACAGACAGCAAAAGTGTGAGAGATGTGCGCGACTCCACCTTTGAGCCACACCATCCCACAAACGAGTGTTAGTTTATGTGACAGAGCTGTGATACTTTGCAGCTGTTAGAGGAACAGTGAGTAGTTTATTCACATGTTTGTTTAAATTAGTGCATACTTACCTGAATAAACAGCAAAACCTCAGTGACGATCACCATCTTGCACCACAGTTTCTGCAGTTGGAAAAAACATATGTAGCCGTATCAAGGGCCTCAAGTAGTCCCATTTTTCCCCTCATTCAGGGGGCGAGCATGGGAGCATTTCAATCTAGAATCTATGAACTCTAAATTAAAATATACAATTCTCTTCATGAAGTTAAGATCATCTTTGTCAGCTTTACAGAAAACCACTTAATCAGCACCAACTGTATTTCCACTGACCTGCACATCACGCCCATCACACAGGAGAGTCATAACTGTCCTACCATCCCATCACAGGAAGGCGCCCGTTTCACACCTTTGACCCCTGCTGCACAGGGACATGTGTTTCACACACACACACACTCAGCACCATGCGCCCTGCATAAAGAGAATAGAAATACAGCAAAACCATGACAGCAAACACATGCACGGACAAGAGATGTCTGTCACTTTTGACTTCAGAGGAACGTTTGGAGGTTCAGCCTTCAGCAGAAACACGCAGACATTTTACTGGGACCCATAAGTGATATCTCTGAAGCTCTTGTGGGTCAGATTCAGGTCTAGTTTAATTTTAAAGTCTACTGTCTAGAGAAGAGAGTGAAAGAGGAAATAAACAGAAAACTCCTGTGTGTCCACGTGGCTCAGAGGATAATAACACTGACTGGGACTCCTGAGGTCATGGGTTCAAGTCTTGTGTGTGTGTGTGTGTGTGTGTGTGCAAAGCATTCATAATAAGACGATAAAGGGAGTAATCATTGGGGAAATTGTGACCTCTGAGACATTGGGTGTCGATTTAATTTGAGGACAACAGGAGGGTTAAAAAGCTCAGGAAGCCATCCCTAAAGGTCAGGTCAGCTGTAAAGGACTTCTGGGACCCGCCACAGATTTCAGCACCCCAGCATCTGGGTTGAGTGGATCCCTAAAGGAGCAGGACTATGATACGCTTTTAGCCGTCAATGTTCGCCATGATGTACGAACCTACTCCAGGAGGAAATCAGACTTTTATTTTCCTGCTATTCAGTGATTTCACTCTTACTCTGCTTGTCAGCTCCTTGTTGCCATGGTAACAGACCGTTCCAGACAGGCTGTCTTTTCACTGTTGTAGCTCGCTGAAGCAGAAGTCTGCGCCGTAAAGGAGGTCAAGACAACTTTGCATTGTGAATTTAAAGCATGACGGCCGTTATTAAAATGAGTCCCGTTTCATTGACGCACACTTGGTTCTGTTGTTGTGAGCCTTAAACCAATTAGCCTGGTTTTAGCTCAGCTAAGCACTCCGAGCCAATCTCTTACAGTTCAGGGGAAAAGGGATTACTCTTCACTTTCAGCCGAAGTTGGCGCACTCGCTTTGTTTTCCCCCTCGATACCCTTCCTGTCAATATCAATGCAAGTAAAAGCCCTTCAACTTCAATTAGATCACCCTGCAGAGATCTTTACCCATAATCGGATTCTCTCAGCGTGCTCACCTGCACTACACATGCATGTTCAGGAAACTTATACACAATCTACACACACATTAAAAAAAAAAAAACACTCTGTTTGGATGGAGAGAGGCTGAGGAATGATCTCATCCTGAGACACAGAGAGATGATGTCAGACTGTCGATCAGGGTTGCTGCTGCTGCTGCTGCTAAGCTACTGTAAATGTTCATGTTTTTACAGGCCATGAGGGTGAGTGTGTTTATGTTTGTGGACTTAAGTGCTGAGCAGAGATCGCTGAAGTTTTATCTCTAAACATGAATCAGAATCCCAAAATACTCCTCAAACTGCCTCCAAGCTTTTATCATTTTGTTAAAAGTGATTATCCAGGTCATCAGCTCTGCATCTTGTTTTCCTCATCTTTGTTTCTAAATCTATTCCTCCTCAGTTTAGACGCACTCCTTCTAGACTGTTTCTCTCCCTCAGTTACTTTCATGTCTTGTGTGATTCTTCTTCCTCCATCCCTGGAGCATTTTCTCCCACCCTCTCCCCCCTCCAATCTTCTCCCATGGGTTTGACGAGTTCCCTTGTTTCATTTGGTCTCCCCTCCTCGTTTCTCCTCCCTTTTTATCTTTGTTCCCACTGAATCTTTGAGAAAAAAAAATCTGTTTGATCTGGTTTCCTCCTCCCTCGTCTCAGCACATCCTCCTTCTTTCTATTTTTTTCCCCTGCCTCTCTCCCCTGTGATCTCATTTCCAGGATATGTGTGATGTTTAATGTCACTCGTGCGTTTACCGTCAGCGGTGGAGAAGAGAAGAGAGGACAGGACACACCCTATTGTGACCTCATGCATTTCCCTCGTCCGCTGTTGTAAGTGATTTTATCTCGGCCTGTGCGGCGCGCTGACATCATGTCAGCTGCGTGAGCTGGATGCATGATCAAGGGGCGGCAACAACAAATACATCACCTTTGATTTTCCTGGTGTTGTCCTCTCTCCTGCAGCTGTTTGCAGCTTTTGTGCCATCTATGATAAATTCCAGGAGGTTTTTTATTCATTTTGAGTGCAATACAGAAATGTTTTGCTGTGTTGTTGTCAATAGAAATAGAAGTTTTATCAAGAATCCTTGTCCACACTTTTGTTGAAACACTACAAGCATAAGAGGGGAGGAAAAATGAGCAGAAAAAACACTTATGTTCAGTTTTGTCTGCATTTGGAATAAGCTGCAGATGAAAAAGCAGATTTTAAACCAAATCTATGGATGTAATTTGTGTTTTGCAAGAACCCGTTTAGGTCCCCAGTTTTCCCAGTTTTAACTGTCTGAAAAATAATGTTACTTAACGCTATTGCAATGCGATACACGTCAGGCATTAGTACCAAACGGCTGCTCAAGCCAAAAACTGGTTCCCCTCGGTTTGGACCCCCCACAAGGTCCTTGATTGGCTTTGCCGCAAGGCCACATTTTGTGTATGACTGGCTATTCCTGCTGTCAGTCATTCCATGCCCACCTTTTGCAAGTTGTTCATAAGAGTCAGTCTGTGAACATTGCTATTCGCCAATGTAAGTTTACTGGAGGGCGGCGTTCATTTTCCCTCCTTAACGTCACATTCATCAGAGGTTTCATTTCTTCATCCATGACCAAATCATATGCAGATTTGAGAAAGCTTAAGCAGGTGGAGGTGCACAGCAATAAATAACAGTGTCATCAACGTAAAGTGAAAGGAAGGAGCATTTGGGACATTCTTATATGAGACAGTTTACGTAGATAGTGAAAAAAAGTCCTGGGCCCAGAACTGATCCCTGTGGAACCCCCTCAAGGACTTTATAATGCTGCGGTCCAGTTACCCTGGAAGTTGGATGTCGGAGCTGGGAATGATGCTACGCCCAAGTTGACAGTGTTCCAGTTAACAAGTTGGAAAACCAAGATGGACGCCTACTGTTAGCTGTTGTTAGTCGTTAGCTATCCCAGTAGTAAACAACGCATAACACAGTATTTTACTCACAGTTCGACATTTGGCAGTACAACATATACCACTTATTTAATTTCACAAAAACAAAATAGATGTGCTAATAAATAAAAAGTTATGAGATTTTTCACTGTTACTCTTTACTGTTGATGCACTTCGCTGCCATCTTGGATTATGACATTGTCGTCAAGTTGGGGTTGGTGAGGATCATCCTTTTTGAGTTGGAAATCCGATGTCAGAAGTTCCAGATGCATTTCTGACTCGGAGCTCAGAAATCCCGACTTCTGAGTACAATTAGAACGCAGCGTAGCAGTTTATTATTTTACATTTTCAACATCAAATGTTCGTTAGGAAAGATATGGTCATGGGATAGGATGTCTGATCAGAAAACACTATCTGAGTATATCTACTAAAGAGGCACCTCTTTGCCAACAGGGGGCGTCAAAATCAACAGAAATCAAAAGTTCCTCATTAGAGCTTTAAAGGTATGCCGACTGTCACCAGTTTGTACATTGTGTGCTTCTGCAGAAACATGACCGTGCAAGATGGCAGCCAAACCAGTGTTGTTTTCCAATCTTTTCATAACCTGGCTCGTCCAGATCTTCTGTTATTTCTGCCCCAGTGAGGTCTCTAAGGTCCTTGAATGCTTCCCTTTTAAATGTCCCTCATGAGTCCCACACAAGCACTGGAGACAGAGTTTTCTGTTTCCTGCAAGAACTCTTTTCTTCTGGATGTTAAAACCAATTTTAAAAAAAGATCTGACAGAAACTCAATAATTACTCAACCTGCAAAGGGATCAGTTAAGACAAGAAGTGAGTCTAAACTGTGCAGGCTCTTATGGAGGTCCACCGTGTCTGCAGACAGGGACACGCCAACCACAGTCAAGTTCAGTCAGGGGGTCTCTGGAGAAGAATCACGAGATCAGACATGTGAACCCATTTAGACCCCCTGATAAACCCGGTTATAAGCTCGAGCTTGGGATATTCTCAGTGACGAAAAGTTTATTCTAGTTGTAAAAAAGTGTTGATCGTAGTAAAAAGTGTCAGGATTTGAAGCGTAGGTGGTTAAAAAGAAGATGAATGCTCTCCACGCTGCAAAAGGTTCTCCTCTTTTTCTTGTATTTACAGTCAGGATCTAAATAATTTAGTGTCCTGCATGCTTTTTAGCTCGGCACCCTGCTGAGACACACACACACACAATAACAGACTCACAGACAACCAATCTCCACCAATTTCTCACTCATATTTAATCCACATAAACACAAACAGGATTACACACTTCTGCACCACATCATGAAACATCTACCACCCACCCTGCAGTACAACACAAAGAGCCCTCAGCCCTCCCCCGTCCTTCTTCTCCGCTCCCATTGGCTCAGAGGCCTGGATGCTGGCAGTATCTCAGACCAATAAGACGTCTCCTAGGTGATGTCATGGAGGCAGTATTGATGCTGTTGCTGATGCTGTTGCCCGGCGCCTGTATCCGTGCAGCCAGATAGGGGTAACCGTATCCACCGGTCCACCATCAGCACCAGAGAAGACAGGGACAGAGGGGGGTAAGTCTGCATCTGAAAACACACATCTACACACACATGTGCATGTTCCTCATGTCCGCCTGAGTTCTCTCAGTTTAGATCTGCATGAATCTGGACGTGTGTGCGTGTGTTGGCGGGGTGTGATGGGGCGAGGGTGAGGATAGTGATGATGCGGCGGTTCCTGCTGACACACGAAAAGGAGGAAGAAGAAGGAGAGCGAGGGTTAGAACTCGATGTACCCGCAACCCGTACGGTGTGTAATCTGTGTCATTTATTATTGATCCTCCTTATGAGCAGATGCAGCTTTGTGTCTGCTCTTGGGATGGAGAGAGAGAGGAGAAGAGGTTGGTGGAGGAGAACATGGGCGTTTTTTTTTCTTCATGTTCTCGCAGGAAAATGGGTGACGGAGCAGGAAGACAGGAGAGATGGAGAAAGATGTAGAAAAAAAGAGAAGAAAAACAGAATTCAACCTGTGATGTTTGGAGTTTTTTTTGACGTTTATAATCATGTGGGCCTTGTCCTTTTTTATCTGAGTAAAAAGAAAGAAAACTAAATGTGCAAACTCAGTCGAAACAGCTCCAGACAAACGTTCGATTTTACTAATTCTTCCCTGAAGTTTGGTGCAGATTATAAATTCTCTCAGAATATTTTTATGACAAGAAAACTGTGTCAACTCAAGTCCTAAAGCGACGGTAGGGTTTCTATTCTGTTTGTTATTCACGCAGGATGAAAATGCATCTAAGTACTACATGTACTACAGTTCCCATGGAAACAGAGTCAAATATGAGGATCCTATTTTCATTCTGTCCTTTGAAAACTGGAGGTACATTTATAGCGCTGAAGATAAAATGCATCAGAGAACAAAGTGATGTCTCACAGCGCCGCAACGCCAGTGTTTAAAATTAGAGTTAAAAGTCGGTGTTTTATCTGCTTCATAATCTGGACGATAAAACAGACTTTTTCTGTCTGTGTTTTGGCGCTGACATAAACCTCCGTCTCTGTGGTGTTGTTAAAATCGACATAAGTCACTGAATTTGCTGACTCTCTTTCTCTAACCCCGCCCTGTTCCCTCCAAACGCTCTCATTAGGTTAATTTGAAATTTGCTCCTTGAAGTGAACCTGCAGAAATATCCTGAGTAAGTACAGCCTGACTCTCTCTCTCTCTCTCTCAATGACAGCTGGTTCATGCTGTCCTTGCTCAGAACAAGGCTCCCTATATTATCTTCCTCTTAAGCTAAGCTAACAGACTGATGCATTCAGCTTTACCACACTGAACCAAAGAAGACCCAGACCAAAATTGACAGGTCAAAACACTAGAAATATATTTATATGCTGAGACTCTGACACTGAGGACAAGATGAACTGGAGGCAGTGCTGGGTTTAATGACACCTGGGCGGTGGAGTCAACGAGACACAGGTGAGACTAATCAGGGGAGAGAGTCGATGAACCTGAAATAAGAGACAAGAGACAAGAGTGAGTTTCAAAATAAAACAGGAAACACAAGACAAAAAAAAACTTAACTAATCAGGAGATGTGACACAAAAGCAACAGTCAACATCGGACCAACTCCAATCTGAGATGCAACACTCACTTTATGTGATATTTGTACTGATTTGTAAACAAGTGCACATGACTGTACGGTTTCCCAACATTTAGGAAACTTAAGAGAACCCAAACCAAAATTAAAAGTCATAATTAAGTCTGTTACTGTCAGTCATTTCCTAAACCACGATCCAAACATCCCTCTTTTCCTCCTCTCTCTCTCTAAATCGACACACGAGTAACAGACCCTCCTCCTCCTCCTGCAGGGAGGCCGAGCATTGATCTGCAACCTGGGCGGTTTGATAAGACGAGACGCAGATACGAAGGCTTTGTGTGTGTGTGTGCAGTCGTGCTTTAAGTGTGGCAAAGCAGTGTTACTACTGCCTGATAAAGTGTGTGCACGGCTGTATTTTAAAGCCTGATCATCCTCACTGACATGGGTCGTCTCATTAGTGCGTGTCTCTCCCTGTCAGGTACTCACAACTCTTTGACATCTAAACTTGATAAAACGATTTATTAACAGAGAGAGAGAGACAGAGAGAGAGAGGTATTGATTGCTGATTATCGATCGATCCTGATGTTTTGTAATATCCCCATGCTGCTTCATGACTGATCATTAAAATAAATCTGTTTGACTTTCTCTAGCTGTGAGGTGTATTAGCCCTCTAGATTGATAAAAATGCACAGATAAACATCATCTACTGACACATGATCCTAAATCTGAATCATCCAGAGAGAATTTTAGTTGATGTCTCTACGACTGAAACATGATTTGAGTCGCAGGAAGGAGGTTAAACTCGACTCAGTGTGAAAACAGTTAGCCTGATTTTCTCCAAACTTTCAAATCATACAAAATTGAACCAAAATGTTTGTTTTTTGTTCGTTCAGTCAGTGCAGATACACTCAAATGTGAACAGAATCTCTATTTAGTTTTAGCAGACCTTCCTCTCTCTTTGTGTTTATGCATGAAGAACGTTTTAACAATGTAGAGGTTGCATGTCTGATGTTAATTTCATATCTAGTATTTCCCCACTGCCTGTTTTCCACAATCCCTGATTCTGGTGTTTGTTCCCCCTGATGAAAGAGTGTTTATGAAACCCGATCCCAGAATTGAAGCAAAACTTAATTAGCATGTTAAAAAAAAGGTCAACAGACTGTGTGAGACCTCCTCTGGGTTCTCACCAGATAAAATCATCCAATTAGCCGATGCCGAGTATTCAAGTATTTAAATTTGTTTAGTAAATGTTGTTCTGATTTACCCTGAGAAGCAAATCAGAACATTTGCTGTGTCACTGAGTGAATCGAATCTGTTTATATGCAGGTAAAGATACTGCAGGTGCAATTCTGTGTGGTTTAATACGCCTCGGTTGCATACAGAATTATTGCTTTAACTTTAACTGTTAGTGCAGTAAAGGGATTGAAACACATGCTTGGATTATATAAGAGGTTTTAAGACCTTAATTGCTCATTAAAAGGAAGTTTGCAACCTAAATGATTGGCAGAAACTACCCATGAGTACAAATATCAGTTGAAGTTGTGCAAAAATAGATATAGAAGTTCATGTTTGCAAAGAGCAGTAAAAGAAATTAAGTCCTCTATATATTTAAAGTGAAAAATCATCCCTTTAAAGAGAGTTTAATATCTATTTTTGTCCTACTTTTGCACCATTTCGCAATGCTGCTCTCTCATTGGTTGAAATAAGCCTTAATGGGAGGTGCACTGGTGTCCTGCAGCTCTGGGGTGTTGGTCATTCTCTCCTTCTGACCTTTGAATCTGCTTTAATCATCTCCTCCTCTTTGTGTCTGCATGTGTCTCCTTCTCGCAGACTGAGTCGGATCTTCAGCATCCCTGGAGAGTTACACACACACACGCAGCGAGAAGATGACTCTGGCAGGTAAATGCAGCCTCAGCGAAAAAGTGGCGCACACTCACCTCACCAGCAGTGATGCAGCGTGGACGCAGGGGAGCAATTTTATCATCTGAAGCACGTTATCATGACATTATGATGAGGTTTTATCATAACACGGTGATAATGTCTCATCAGTGCCACTAAAAAAAGGGAGAATTACTGCATTAGTTTTGCTCATCGTTCAGATAGAGTCAATACAATGTCAAGTCTAATATAACAAACGTGTGTGTTTTTGTGTCCTCAGCCTATAAAGAGAAGGTCAAAGAGCTCCCCCTGGTGTCTCTCTTCTGTTCCTGCCTAAACCCTCAGACTGCAGACAAACCAACATACAAGGCAGAAGGTAAATCACACACAGAGAAAAATATGCAAACTGTTTTAAGAACTTTGTCATGATGATAGAAATCCTGCAGAGATGTGTCGGAATAAAACAGATTGTTTAAGAAATAGAGAGAAAGACAGAAAAGTTGTTCTTGGCTTTCATTCTTCAATATAACAACCTAAAGGGATATTCTGGCGTAAAATTAATTTATGGTCAAACACACCATAACACTGAGTTAGACACCCCTTTGAGAGATGAATGTTGCCTAGCGGTTGGGTGCGCCACTCTATAGCCACAAATAATGCTCAGAACAGCACCTAACTTCATCAACAGGACATATAGGGTCCTAACCATAGTACTAGCCACCAAACATCTTTGCCTGGTTTATTCAGTGAAGCGACTAAACACAATTCACCTACTCCCCTCCAGCAGCTGCTTGTTTGTAACAAGACCTCAGGCCAGTCCATTACGGACTACAGCGGGGTGACGCAGCACAAGGAAGAACATTTATGATCATTTCTTCATGTTATCAGACTGAGATGCTAAGGCAGAAGAACTACCGCGTCTGCAGTGCAAAATGATCATTACGATGACTATTACTTCAAGGAAATGAAAAAGAAATGATCATAAATGTTCTTCCATGAGCTGCGTCACCCCGCTGTAGTCGATGGACTCACCCGGAGGTCTCTGTACAAACAAGCAGCTGCTGGAAGACAGCTAGTACTATGGCTGGAACCCTATATGTCCTGTTGATGAAGTTAGATGCTGTTCTGAGTATTATTTGTGGCTATAGAGTGGCGCTTTGATTGAGCGCGTGGCTCTCTGTATTGCTATCCTGCGGCTGTTACTAAAGTTGGTATAACTAGAGAAGCAAACAGTCGGCAAGATTCATCTCTCGAGGGGGTGTCTAACTTGGTCTTATGCTGTGTTTGACCCTCAATTATTTTACCCCGGAATATCCCTTTAACGCTCGATACATCTAAGCTAACAGCTTCTCATAAACATTAGCATTAGCAACACTAGCATCAGCATGGCACTTTGGGCAAACACATCATAAACTCTGTAGACCAGCTCTATATGTGATAACCTTATCACGTGCATTTATACATATATATATGGTTACGAAAACACATGAAAAGGGTTGTGTACAGTTTTGTTTACTTATATTACCAGACACATCGTTGCTGGCTTCCATTCCGTAGTGTAATGAAGAGCCGTAAGCTACATGCTCCCCCTGCTGGCTAAAACCGGAAATGTCTGGCACTATCAAAATAGGCCATCTCAAATATAAACTTGCACTTTACTATTTAATATTCTTTAAAGATGAACTTAACTTTCTACAGTTCAGACTCTTTTAACATTTATTATTTTTTTTATGATTTAAATATCATTATCAATATTGTCTTTTATATTTACTATCCTGTTTCCTGTTTTCTACCCCTCTTTTTTATTACATTTCTCTTTTCTCAACTATTTTATGTTTTTATTTTGGTCCTCATGGTCTCATTTTATGTTGTTTGGTTCTTGTATTGTCTCGGTTCCTTATGACAAATGAAACTGGCCTTCAATTCAGAGGCATTGTTTTTAACTGAGCTTTTGTTTTTTATTTGTGTTTATTTCCGTGTGCTGATGTTCTGAGCTTTATGACTGTTTGTCAACGCACTTTGTAAACTTCTGTGTGCTATAAAATGAATTTATTATTATTATTGTAACACTTAACATCCACATTATTCAACAACCATGTGGATGAAGTAAAAGTAGAAGAACCATGATATTTATTAGTAAAGATTTACTCCATAACCTTCTCAGTGTAATCTGTAAATATCCTCCACATTGTGCTTTTTCATCTCCACATGAATTGTGAACGAATAACCAAAATACATCCTCGATCCAACCCCACAGATGCGGTGGACCTTGGCTGGTGTGTCATCAAAGATGTGGAGGTGATTGAGATAAACAAACGGGCTTCAGGCCAAGCCTTCGAGGTCATCCTTAAGCCCCCGTCCTTTGACGGCGTGCCAGAGCTCAATACCTCTATGCCACAGCGCCGTGACCCGTCCCTGGAGGAGATCCAGAAGAAGCTGGAAGCTGCTGAGGAGAGGCGGAAGGTGCGTGGAGAGGGGATGGGGGTTAAGATTTTTGCAGCTGCATACCTAGAAGTGGACCGGTAACCTTAACCCGTGCTATTTGTAGTCCATTCAGACTTTGTCAACATGTGACAGCACTCATTGTGGGAAGCATGATTTATCAATCCGGGGAGAGGGGGGTGGTGGAAGTGGATGAAAGAGAAAGAAGAGGGAGGAATGGACAGGAGTTGATGGAGAGGAGGGGAGGAAACACAGGCAGAGGGAGGATGGGAGGATAAAAAGACGGACATGAAAGCGGAGAGGCAACCATGCAAGGACACAAAGGCTCATATTCATCAAGCAAAGACAGGGAGGAGGGAGGGTAAGGTGAAAGACGAGATTGGAAGATCGGCCAGCTGTTAAGATTTTGATAAAAAAAAGAGACCTAGATTCACACCAAGTGGGAGGAAGAGTAAAAGCAGCTTAGAGGCCCGACTAAAACCCTGAGACACTGAACCGTACCCTAACCCCAAACATGACCCTCTGTTAATGGAGCATGTAAGGTGCTAATGGTCTGTTGTGATCCACCCCCGTACCCTTTTGACCTCCTGCAGACCCTGAGATTAAAACACTGCTGCTAATTTCCCCTCTCCATTGTTTGAGGTTAAACTAGAACTCCTGTTGTGTTTACTAAAACCGCTCTCTGTCGCCATCTAGTGCCAGGAGGCCGAGCTGCTGAAGCACCTGGCCGAGAAGAGGGAGCACGAGCGCGAGGTGATCCAGAAGGCCTTCGAGGAGAACAACAACTTCATCAAGCACGCCAAGGAGAAGCTGGAGCAGAAGATGGAGGCCAACAAGGAGAACAGGGAGGCCCTGCTGGCTGCCATGCTGGAGAGGCTGCAGGAGAAGGTACTGTCCAGGACCTCCACATGATCATACCTGACTTTCCTGGAGGTCCTGCAAAAGTTTTTCTATTTAATTATAGAGCTGTTTGATTGGTTGTTGCATAGCAACAGCTCATAGCAAAACAGGCAGAATCCTCGAGCAGAACCAGAGTTATGTTAGACAGTCATCTGCTGAGGGTTTAGAGAGGGAAGCTGGACAGTACAGTAGGTCAAGACTTCTCACAGGTTTGATCATTAAGTGTGAATATTAAACATAAATAAATATGGAATAATAGTTTATAGAATAAAATAAAATAAATAAAATAAAATATAAAATAAAATTTAATTTAATTAAAAAATAGAATAAAAATAACAATAAATTAAAAAAATAATTAAAGAAAAAATAAAATTTAATTAAATCAAAAAATAAAATAAAATAAAAAAATCAAAATAAAATAAAAATGAATAAATAAAATAAATTAAATTAAAAATGAAATAAAAAATAAAATAAATTTAAAAAATTAATTTGAATAATAAATAATTAAATTAAATTAAATTGAAAATTAAATTAAATCAAAAATAAAATAAAATTTAAAAAATCAATTCATTTAAATAATTAAATAAAAAATAGATTAAAAAAATTGATTAAATTAAAGAATTGTGAATATTACCTGAGGTGGGAAATACATCTACCTCTCCATTTATGTTTCCTGTTTAACTTTCAATGAAATGCTTTGTTCTGCTTACTTCTTGCTATTTTAATGTTAATATATATTCATGATTAACCAATGACTCTCCTGTTGCTTTGTCTCTGTGTTCATCTCGCAGGACAAACACGCAGAAGAAGTGAGGAAGAACAAGGAGATGAAGGAGGAAGCCTGCCGGTAGACGAGTGCAGTGATGGAAGATTAAAAAAGAAGATAAAAAAAAGGTGGACTGGGGAAAAAAGGAAAGAAGCTGAAACAGAGCAGGAAAAAACTCAAAAAGTCAAATTTTCATATTAAATGTAAGAATTATGAATTCTTCCTTCTTCTGAATCTAAATCTTTACCTCGTAAAACATGAAAAAACTTTGCTTGTTGAATTACACACAAATCTAATTTGACGGTCCACAATCTTAATTCAAGTCAAACCCGAGAGTTTTAATTTACAGAAAAGATGCCCCCCGCCCCGGCGCCTTCATGCTTATTTTGAGTTTTGGAAAGTATGTGTGTGCTCTAAGTGAATCCCTTATTATGGTTTATAGAGATAAAATGGAGCGTCAGGCTTTTGTTTCTGTCAGCAAAAGAAACAAGAAGCTTTAAAGAGGAGGAGGAGGAGGAAGCTTTGCTCTTTGTGAAACTTTAACTCGTAGTGTAGTCGTAGATCAGTGACATGCATTTGAGACTCTTAGATTTAGAGCACTGATTGCACTCTTTTTTCATTAAGCACAACTCAAAAGCACACATGCAAACATGAGGAGCTGTTAACATGTACAGACTAAACAATAATAACGTCACAGGATTTGAACGTATTCGGCTCTGAGGGGGTGAGTTTGGGGGTTTCTGGCTAAACCAGCAGTCTCCCTTCGCTTTGGCATGTGTCACAAGTGTCCGTTTTTGATTTCTAAGGGAGGTGAAACACATTCGAGGAACAGGCCGGGGAAATTCGCTCGAGTTGTTGAGTCATACTGACTTCATTGAAAAAAGTTGCACTGTAACAGAGAGGTCGGATCATGGGGTTTGTACTTGCTGTAATTGTGTGTTGCTGTGTATCCTAAGAGCAGGATTGATTGTTATTATTTGGCATGGTCAGTAAAAACAGCTTGACTGATAAAACCTGTTGTTTTTGTTCTTATTGATCGACTTTGACATGAATTATGCGGTTTAATACACTCACACAGAGAGATAGAGATGGACACATGAGTTAAACAGCACCTTTAAAACTCCTTACAATAAAGTTGAGACATCATTTTAACAGATTTAAGTTATTTAAGCATAAAAAGATGAGAAATAAAAACAGGTGACATGACTCTGTCACGGCTGCGGTACAAGACTGGGCCTCACGCAGGTACAGCCCACAGAGACCACCTCGGTCCCCAGTCTGAAGACGTACCTCTTCTTGACCTTCCCCCTTCCTGTCTTCTTCGGCTTTTGCTTCAAGACTCTGGAGTGAAATCAGACAATTATGAGGACTCACTATTTTTTCAATTAAGAAAATACACATTAGGAACAAATGATTTCAAAATGGACAGAAGAGATAACAGCAAAGGTTCACTTTTGTTTCCACGTGGAACTTTTAATACTTATTGGTTAAAATGCTGAATTTATTAGAGTCATTTTACCGTATAATCTTTCCTATTTGAACTTATTCAAGCCAAGATTAAACTATCTTACTTTGTATCATGTGATTGATGTAAATTAACACTTTCACAATTTTCTGTCCATGGTTAGAGATTATGAAAACAGTCAGTTGTAAAATGCATGAAGAAAATTGAGAAATGCAGATTTTCAAACAGTCAGTGCTTCGTTACAAATTACTGTTATTATATTACTTTATATTATATTATATTTTAATTTTTAATTTAATTTATTTTCACTTTTTTAATTTATTTTAATTTATTATATTTTATATTTTATTATATAATTTTTACTTCATTGTATTAAAAATATATTTTTTATTTACTATATTATATTATATATTTTTATTTTATTATTTCATAATAATATAATTTTTACCTCATTGTATTAAAAATATATTCTATCTTTTATTTTATTACATTTGATCTTTATTCTAATATTATATAACATTATATTTAACATATATTATATTATATTTCATATATTATATTATATTATATTATATTATTACATTACATTACATTACATTGCGTCAGATTATTAGGAAAAAACACTCTGCAAACTGGGTTTAACTATATAAATAGTCAGGGGCGTACCTGCGGAGGACCAGGATCTGGTAGTAGATGGGTTTCGCCATCAGAGCTGCATCCTCTCCATCCCCTAGCAGACTTAGACATCCAGAGGTCAGACACTCAGCATGAGAGATCTGCATCGGCAGACGAGACTCCTCACGTGATTCTCTGAGAAAAGTTAAAAACTCCAACTTAGTGAAGACTGAACACACGCCAAGAGGACAAAAACAAAAGGTAAGTCCCTCACCTGTATGTCCATGGAGACAGAGACATGTTGGCGATGGTTGAGGCGGACATACCGCTGATGTGAGATAACACTGAGGGGTCCAGGACCAGCCTCAAGGTCCTTGCTCTCTGTCTGGTTCTCTGTCCTCTCATCACTGCCTGGTCTTTCTTGGCGGCGTGCAGCAGCATGACCAGGCTCAGTAAAAACGAAGCTCTCAACACCTTCACACAAATAAACATAATTGGTTTTAAAAAACTGTAACCTTTTGACCTCTATGTTTTGTATTATATCACATAAATCTATAGGCCAGACTACAAATATATGATCTATAAACACAGTTACAATCAAGGCCAAACTCACCAGCAGCATGACGGCGTCGTCTCGCCTGCAGAGCTTCAGTTGAAGTGCGAGGAGCTGCTCTGCTGTCGGGGTGTCTCTCTACGTCTTTATATACAGGTGGAGAGTCGGTGCGAGCTGTAGACATCTGCAAATCATTTCCGCTATGACTGTTTAGTGATTTCAAGACAATCACGTTGATCTACAAACAAGATAAGAGTTTGTTAAGGTGTTGTCAACATTTAAATCTTTATAGGTTATCAGTGTGAACCACCTGGGGTTCGTTTGATTCTGTTTTTAGTCTGTTTTGTGTTGTTGTTGTAACTCCTGATCTCATTGTGTCCTTTCACAGTTTGAGTGTCCAAGGTGAGGCGAGCAGAAATGTCGATGTTGTAAAACTTTTTGTAAACTAACAAACATGTACTCTAGACTGCTACAGCTTTTATTTCTTCATGCAGAAGACATTGTAAGTCCACCTACGCATTGCCAACCCACACAGACAATGTAGGTTAGGACAACACTGGGGTTTCTCAGGATGAATCAGCACCCTCGCTCTGATCAACTTGATCATACCTTGATGAGTAAGAAGCCCATACAGCTGTACTCTTTCATAGATGCACAGTGGAGATGGAATTAAAGATGAATTGAGTAAAACTGCTGAATTTGAGAACAGAGGGGCTCCACGAGTCCTCATTCTGCAGACTCATCATGCCCTCTCTCCTCTCTAAACCCAGACCAGTCTCAGCAGATGACTGTCTAACTTGAGTCTGTTCCTGCTCAAGGTTTCTACCTGTTGAAGGGAGTTTGTGGATGAAGATAGGATGGGAGTGGGTCTGATCTTACTCGACTTGAGGCTTAATCTGATCCTATCTTTATAAATAGAGTAGGTGGCATTTATTAGTTCATTCCTAGATCTGAATTACACTGAACAAAAATATAAACAAAAGAAAGTTGGGGATATAAACATGAAAACATTCTCCATACTATTCGCCCTCGGCCTGTCCAATTTGGTAAAATCTGCCAGGAGTTGCCTTCCAATGGCATAGCTCTTAGGGTTCACAGCAGTATGCAAGCTCCCTTACCACAACAAGGTAACAGTCCCAAGAAAGGTTTTTTATCTTTAAACATTTTTAAAATTTTTGTTTTTCGTACCTTTTTTGTAACTCTTTATCTTTCTGACAAGGGGAAGTAAACAAAGGGAAGTGGCAGTCCTGGTATGTCCACATAGCTCAGACAATAAGACGCCTGATGTTGTGGGTTCGATCCTTACCTGATCCAGGTCCAGGTAAAATTTGATCAGATTATTTTTTCATCATTACAAGTGATGATGGTTATTCATCACTTCCCCAGTCTTGAAAATTTTGATTTCTGTCTCTTTTTCTCATCATTTCATCAGTTCTTCTCTGCAATGTGATGAGAAGAAAGAATAAAAATAAATTAAGACTAATGACTCCGCATCACAGCCCCCTGTATAGTCATAGAGGGGGCTGTGGTACCGATGACAGCATAAAAAAAAAAAATTTTTATATAGATGACTTGGTTTCTTCAAAACTTCAGCCAGGTTTGACTTTTTGCACATGTAAATGTGGCTTCTGTCTGCCACGTATATACAGTCTATGGTCTGCCATCACTTTTGTGTGCAGTGAAAATCTGGATGTTCTGCCAAATTCTCTGAAACGCCTTTGGAGACACATACAGTGGAGAAATTAACATATAATTCATAGGCAACAGCTCTGGTGGACATTCCCGCAGTCCGCATGTCAATCACACGCTCCCTCAAAACTTGTGACATCTGTGGCGTTGTGCTGTGTGATAAAACTGCACCTTTTAAGCCGCGTTCAGACCAAACGCGACTTGAAGCGACCTAGTCGGGTTTGTCGCTCACGTCGTGCCGAATCGCGTCAGGTCGCGGCTGTACATTCACTTTGCATTGGAAGTCGTTGCTCAGATCGCCGAGGTCGCGTTTGGTATGAACACCCCTTAAGGCACACCTGTGCAATAATCATGCTGTCTAATCAGTGTCTTGATATGCCACACCTGTGAGGTGGATGGAGAAGTGTTCACTAACACAGATTTAGACAAACTTATCAACAATATTTGAAATAGTTTGTCTTTTGTGAACATAGGAAAAAAGTCTTAGATCTTTGAGTTTATGGAGTAAACCCAAAAGTGTTTATATTTTTGTTCAGTGTATTTCCTGAGTCACTCTAACAGTATTTGAAATTTTACCAGAAGGTACAGCCTCACTAAAGAAAGCTCAGACTAAACTAGGTCTCGACTGGGGTGAAGGATTCGAGGAAGGCGCCGACTGTAACCTTCCACACCGCGTCTGGTATGAGTCAGCCGAGTCTGCAGAGATGGCGCGGCGGTTACCTCCTCCTCCGTTGAGGTCGATACAGAACCTTATCTCCAAACTCATCAGATGTGCTCGTGCTACACGACATAACCAGCAGAACTGTCTGAGTGAAACTCTTCGCTTCTCTATCAAGTCTTTACCAGTAAGTGTGAGAATGAAAGTGAAGGTAAACAGAGGGTTCAGACTCCGAGACATGACTCCCACATATATAAGGTGAAGTTTAAGAAGAGAAGGGGTCAATTACCCTTCAAAATCTGAAGAAACCAGACCAGGACTGTTTTTGTTCCAAGACATGTTTAATAAGCTTTTCTTTTTTTACTACAGCTGATTAACATTTTCAAAATACTCGTTTTAACTATTTACAAATTCAGACAACACAAGTGCTGATAAACTACCAATAATGTCCTCTGTATGGTGTATAATGGACTAAGATGTTCATTTACTGCACGATCAATTAAAACACAGACGTTATAACCCAACATGACGACCTCTGAACAGGAATAAGCAGATAAACAATGAAGACTTAAACTTTTTACACTGTTGTCATTCGTTAGAGGAACTTTTGACGGCAGATCGGGCAAAAATAAACAGTTTGGAGGAGGAATAAACCTGGACAAATATGTACATGGAATTATAAAACAGAGTTCTCAGATGAGGAAGATGATGTCGTCGGCCACCATGACCTGGTTGTCGTCCTGCATGCGGGCTAAAGCGGTCCGAACCTCGGGCTCTGTGAAGGGGCTCTGCAGCTCCTTGTTGATGTTGTCCATCAGGGTCTGCATCTTCACAGACTGAGCGTGTGCGGACTGGAAGACGGCGAACAGGGAGGACTTGAACTCCTTCATCCTGGTGGAGGACACAAAGACAGAGGTGTTCAGATTTTAAACTGAAATAAATAAGACCGGAAACTTGATTTTAACTACATTAAATCAGTGCTAGTCCTTAACCCTGATCAGGCGTGTAATTCTAGTTTCATGTGACTCCATTACTGACCTCTCTGCAGACAGCTCAGAGTCCCCGGTCTGTGGGGTGGCGTCCATGGCTTCTTCTTCCTCCTCTCTTGGTTTCTTTGCTGGTTTCGGGGTGCCGGCTTGAACTAAAAGAGGATAAAAGGCCATTTAGAAAGCAAATAAACTAAATATGTAACATTTGAAGGCATGTGCGCTATTAAAAGAAGTTAAAGCAGACACGGAGAGTGATTACTTTTTTTTTGTCTTAATCCAACCGTTTGAATCTGAAGTTTTTAACTGATTGAAGTTTATTTCAAATATGCAAACAAAAAATATATAAAATAAATCAAGAAAATTAACAAATAAGTACCCACACCAAGCTTCCTTGCAGCTTGAGTAGATGTATCTTATAATTATGATAAAGTACGTTCATGACTTTGTATTACAAAACAAAATCTACATCTACGTCATACAGCACACACATAGAAACAACAGAACAAGAAACAAAAAATAAACAAAAACAATTACCTCATAACAATTGGCTAAGGTGTTTATATGAGACTTTTTAAACCTGATTGACCTTTCAATCTGATTGTAAATAGGATTTTTGGACCCATGCAAACAGGGCTGGTGAAACGCAAAAACCCTCACTCTTTGTCCGAATTAAAGATTAAAGTTAATTTTCCCCCTTAAATCATAACTTCCCACACGCAAACTGAATAATTTCTGTATATTTATTGGTAGATGATTATTTTTAGCTATAAACATTATTTGAGCGGTTTGATATTCCACAAAGTTTGTGAATTTTAACAACTTGGACTGCAGACGTAAGAAGTGTGTTTTCCTGAAAGCCAACATTGTCTATAACTCATATTGCTCTTTCTGTGGCTGTAGTGATGTTTTAAAGTTCTTGCCCCTGACCTCAACACTCTCTGAAGTCTCTGATTATTCATCTTTTCGGTGTTTTTATCAGAGGTGTTACAAATACTGAAATAAAAACTGTTTTTAAAGTGATTCATTTAGTGGGAGTTACTCTCAGAAACCTATTCATCATGAGGAATAGAACTGTGGTTGAAAAGCTCTGACACTTACTCTCTGGGACATCCTGATCCTCGCTGAAGTCATACGGGCTGAGGGGCTCACTGCCCTGAGAACCACGTCGCCCCCTGCAGGACAAACGAGTCAGTCTATTTAATAACCAAACCAGGAGTGATGATTTTTCTTTAAGTGTTGAGTTTCATTTTCAGTCTACCTCTTCCTTGTCGTTTTCTGTGAGTTCTGCGTGGACTCCGCCTCCTCCTCCTCCTCTGAACCAGAGTCCCGCTCCTGTCTCGAACGTTTCTTCTCTTTCTCCAAAACCTGAAAAAGCGAACGAGAAGTCCCGGATCAGCTTGATTGTAATCTCACAGCGGAAGAAATCTTTCACATCAGGAGGCGGCGCTGACCTTTTTGAAGTAGGCAAACTGAACGAGCTCCACGGCGACCTCCGAGTCCTCCATCTCCACCGCTTTGCTCATCCGGGCTTTGGCGTGCGCCGTGGAGAGACGGATCAGAGTCTCCAGAGTACGAGCCGTCACTGGAGAGGTCTGGAGAGGAGAACGAACACAGTCAAGATCTGCTTGTGTGACCCCCTTTTTAGATAGGTGTGTGTGTGTGTGTTCTCACCCTGGCGATATCAGCGCCCATCTGCTCCTGGCTTCTTAGCCTGGAGTACTCTTCTGCGATGTGATTGGCCGCCTCCTCCGTCAGCACAGGTGTCACAGCCTTGGCGATGTGGATGTACTTTCTCATGAACTCCTTGCTTAAAACCTTTTCCCTTAAAAGAAAAAAGGAAAATAAAACTTTATTTGGAAACTTCGATGATTTTAAGAACTTTTGGAATAAAATCTGGACTTAGAACGTTTTTTTTAGAAACAGTTCTCCCATGATGTTTTTTCATCCCGTACTTCTTTCTCTTGGTTCCATGCAGCAGGTTGTTGTGTTTCTCGTAGATCTGCAGCTCCTCTTGCTCCTGCGCCACCGCATCTGGATCATCTGTAGCCAGAACGTCGACTGACCCGCCCAGAGCCATGGCTAAAACACAAACAAGATCAAAAAAATTAAAGACGTGATAAAATGACCCACACACTTCAAAATGAGACTAAATCCTGCTGCTCAGTACCTGCTCCCTCCTGCTCACGGGGGTCACGGTAGCGGTGCATCCTCAGCACGTGATCAGAGATCTCCCGGTCCTGCTCAGGGTCCATCTGGTCCAGGACGATGAACAAGAGGTCAAAACGGGACAGGAGGGAGTCCTGCAGGCCGATGTTGTCCATCGGGCTTTTATACTGATCGTACTGTAAAAGAAAACAAGCGACAGTTTTAGAGACGGAAATAGGAGAGAGATGATCATCGTGTCAAAGAGGTTCGAGTCGGACGAGTTCTCACCCTGCCGTAAACGGGGTTGGCGGCCGCCAGCACAGAGCAGCGGGCATTAAGGCGAGCGTGGATGCCGGCCTTGGCGATGGTGACTCTTCCCTGCTCCATGACTTCGTGAATGGCCGTTCGATCCATGTCAGACATCTTGTCGAACTCATCGATGCAAACAACGCCGCGGTCCGCCAGCACCATGGCGCCCGCCTCCAAACGTCGCTCGCCTGGAGGAATAAATGAAGACAGACCGATGAGTCGTCAAGTTTCAAGTTTGGTCGGTGTGTTTTAGTGTTCAGGGTCGACTTGTACCGGTCTCTTGGTCGGTGGTGACCGCTGCAGTCAGACCCACTCCAGAAGACCCTCTGCCGGTGGTGGGGATGGCCCTGGGCGCCGTGTGAAGGACGTAACGCAGCAGCTGGGACTTTGCGACAGACGGATCACCTAAAAAAAAAAAGAGGAATGAGAGTTATGAGAGAGAGAGAGAGTGGACCCGGCTGAAGCAGCGCATAACCAGAAACACTCTTAGTACCGATAAGGAGGACGTTAATGTCTCCTCTGATGCGTGATCCGTTCTCCAGAACCTTCTCCACGCCGCCCAGCAGCATGCAGAGGATGGCCTTCTTGATGTACTCATGACCGTGGATACTGGGCGCCAAGGAACGGGCCAGCTGATCGAATAGATCCTACAAGAAAAAGCAGAACGAGAATTTGATGATCAGTCAGTCAAGAATAGGATCATCTGACCTAGGCGGAGTGGGCGGGGTTTCACGTCTTACCTTGGAGCGAGTCTTCCTGAAGTTCCTGATTTTGGCGACGTCATCCGCAGAGAAGTGGGGCGACACTTCTTTACTCATCTGCTTGACCTGACAGGCGATCATGATGGTCCTTCGCAAACATCAAACAAAACGAGAGTTAAACTTTCACCTCCAGCAGACACTCAGAGCACAGCTGCGGATTTCTTTCATCCTCACCTGAACGTGCCCGAGGTGAACCCGCCCTTTTTGCCAGGCAGGCAGCGGTACGTCCCGACGACCTGCACTCTGTCCCCGGGTTTGACCACGTCCACCAGGTCGTTGTCCAGGATGATGTCCACAGAACGGGGCAGCTGACCAGCGGGTGCTTTCTCTGGCATCTCCTGGACTGTGATGGTCTGGTGGTCCTTGTAGATGGAGAGGCCAAACTCGGTCTCCAGAGGGTTGTTTTCTTCATCCTGTAGAGAGAGGGAGGACACGTGAAATAACCACCGCTGATGATGTGATATTTAAGACTCTCACACTCTGGGATCATAGAGGTGATAATTACTTTAGTGGGGTAGATCGCACTGGAGGGGAAGGCGTCCAATGAGGTCATGTCAGTGTACTTCCTCTCCATCGTCTTCTTGGTGGCCGGGCAGTAGTGGACGCTACGCACAACTTTAGGACGCACCAGAGAGCCTGCAGGACGATACGGTGAAAATTCAAAATGTTTCTTTAAATTTCTTTACAAGGAAATCAAAACTTTAGAGAAAATAGACACAGGAGCATCAAATAATCAACCCACACTTGGTGATGATTCCCTCCACACAGACCATGCTTCCCAACAGACGAGAGGTCAGAGTTCTCGGGGTGACGTGTTTGGAACCAAAGCTGCCCTCCAGGCCGATGAAGAACTCCTCATACTGCTTGGCGTAGGTGGCGTCTACTGTGGCAACGAGGTCCTTCAGTGCCCGCTGGAAGGCTAGCAGCTCCTCAAACGCATTGCTCATTAATCTAGAAGAGACAAGAACAACATTTGGTTTAAAGGCTAAAATTATGAAGTTTAATCTGACAACAGCAAACTCTTAAAAGGGATAAAGAGTTAGAAACCCCCTTGAAGGATGAATATTGCCGACTGCTTGCTTCTCTAGTTATACCAACTTTAGTAAAGACCACAGATAGCAATACAGAGAGCCACATGCTCAACCAAAACGCCACTCTATAGCTACAAATAATGCTCAGAACAGCACCTAACTTCATCAACAGTACATATAGGGTCCCAGCAATAGTACTAGCCACCAAACATCTTTAACTTTGACTCATTTCTTTAGCAAAGAGACTAAACACAACTCACCTACTCTCTTCCAGCAGCCGCTTGTTTGTATGGAGACCTCGGGCCAGTCCATTATGGACTACAGCGGGGTGACGCAGCTCAAGGAAGAACATTTATGATCATTTCTTCATGGAAATACAATCGGACTAAAACGCTAAGGCAGAGGAACTACCGCGTCTGCCGTGTAAAATGATTAATATGATGATTGTAACTTCAAGAAAATGAAGGAATGATCACAAATGTTCTTCCTTAAGCTGCGTCACCCCGCTACAGTGGATGGACTCGCCCGAGGTCTCCATACAAACAAGCGGCTGCTGGAAGTCTACAACATTCATCTCTCGAGGGGGTGTGTGTTTGACCCTAAATTGATTTTACACCTGAATATCCCTTTAATGTCTTTTGTATGCAGAAGGTTTAGTCAGCTCTGACAAAACTTGTAGGAGTAAAAGTTGCACAAAAGGAAATGTGTAAAAGGAGAAAACTGGTCAGAGATGGATCAGTCCTTGTTTCCTTACTTTGCAGCTCGGGCCTCGTTTCGTCTCCTCAGGTCGTTAATGTTGACGATGAGTCGAGCTTTGTTTTCACTGATCATGTCCCGGACTTTGCTCTGGTAAACCCCCTGATCTTGCTGTGGAAATGGACATAAGGTGAGTAGGAAGACATTTCAAGTATCAAGACAATAAGACACTGACATCTTAAGTTTAAAGACAAAAAATAAACATACTAAGTTTATCGGTTACACAAACTTGAACCCCTGTGTATTAATGCTCACAGAAAGTCGTTGCATTTACAAATACCGTTCATTTTAATGCTAAAACTGAACTAAGGTATGATTCTTTTGTTTTCACCGCATGGTTTCTCATCACATCCCTTTACAATAAAACTAAACAGATTTAAGTCAAACTTACATCGTCGTCCAGAAAGTCCAGATAATCCCTCTGAGCCTCTCTCATCTCCTGGTCATCTACGACGTCGGTTGCCATTTTGAGTGATTCTTTATTCACTTATAGAAACTTTAAAACCTGAACAGACTCTGACGGTGTGTCTTCCTCCTCTAACACCGACTTCACCAATGCAGACTTTTCGCGCCACAGCGTGCCGGGTCGGGGTCGAACGTACGACGCGATTGGTCAACTCCGCGGGGTACTTCTTTGCATACTCGGCGGGTATTCACCAACCGTCCAATAGGATCTGCTCTGACGTCATTCCGCCCCTCCTTTGTGAAGAAGTCGCGCGAAAACCGTTGAGGAAGGGGCGGGCTTTAGAACGAGGAAGTCTGCTTTCACAGCGCATGCGCTCACCAAGCACAAGATGTATTCTTCACTATCTCCACAAGATGGCGGTTTATCCCGGTAGATTTATGAGTTAGGACGTTACAAGCTTTATTTACTGAATGGAGAGACAATATTTCTATAAACTGTCGTCCAATCTTGCTCGACATCCAGTTTAATGGGGGCAAAATAATTTGTTTAGATGAAATAATATCCAAAAGTGTACAACATGCTCACATTCAAAGAAAAAAATGTTCTAATGTTTCAATGTCACTATTACAAAATCCACACATATTGTTATCCAAATTAAATCTTATATCTAGGAAGTGGTTCGATGGATAAATGTCATTTAGTATTTTAATGTAACCTCTTTTTCGCTTTATGAGGGATTGCAGAGGACAAATATCATTTTCTTATCGTTCTTGCTTCAACAACACTAAAATCTCTTAGAACTGTGGTTCTCAACTAGTCTCACTCTGGGACTTACATTTTCCCCTGGTCCATAAGTCACAACCCACTTTTATAATACTCAAACCAAGCTAATATATTTTTTAGACAAAAAACCTTTAAAAGACTCAAATCTTTAACGTACATACACCATTTTTATTGAGTAACATACATTTTAGAGCACATGAACTGAGGATGACAGCTACTGAAGTTGCGTATACAGAAAATATCTAATTGCAGCGAAGAACCAGCAGGAGGCAGCAATGCAACTATTGGATGCAAGCTGCCGTTAAACAGCAAAGAAGAAGAAGTCCAATCAAAAGGCGGGAAGTAGAAAGGTGCATTCAGGTGAAACTGTACAGGTGACTCCCATGAACTGGAAAGTCAATACAAAAATAAAAGAGTAAAACATGAACTGGATGTTAAAGCAACAAAACTGGATCGTATTTTTGACTGATAAACCATCCTTTGGTAAAGTGTGCATTAATAAGTGTGCATATGGTTGGAAATTGAGGTCCGGAGCATGAGCAGTCAGAATTGTTTGGTGATGGTAACACTGAAGATCTGAACATGGAGCTGCTATCGTCTGTGGAACCCCGGATCTGCAGACACGCCATACTAACTGGTTGATGGACTGGTTTGAAAGCTGTGGCCCGGTTGATTTGGACTTTGGTGTTTTTCCTCTGCATCTTGAACTTCTGCTTCTTCAATCTCGCGAAACTTGGACTCCGAGATTTGACCTCGTGATCCAGGTGAGCCGTCGTTTTGCATAAACTGTATGTAATAATCCGTTTCTGTGATATTTAAATGCAATATCCATATGTAGTATTTTTTCCTTCATACGGATGATGAATGAGCTTTTATATTGGTAGAGAACAATATATGCGTGACCTCGTGTGATCTAGATGCGCCATGTGCAGTAGGCTATCATGTTTAATCAGCATTTCCACTTCATAATAATACTCTGTCCCATTCCTCCAAAAAGAAAAAGTGCATTGTCCTTGGTTTGTACTTCATCTATTCTCTTCATAAAACTTCTGCTGATCTGTATTTACCCTTCTATAAAAATACAGATCCCACAGTACATCATGTTGGCAATGTTTACTCCTGCTAAGGTGTTATTTAGTGTCACAAGATTGCCTCTGAATGCCACTGAAGACATTTCAATCCCAGAGGGATATTTCAAAGATACAACTGGTGTAACTTTATATTTCATTTAGCCTATATCATATCAACATGATAGTATAACCTGATGTTTACAAGCTCCATTAATGTGTCTGCAGTGAGCAGGTCCGCAGCATGAAATAAAGTTACCATCTATTTTATAGACAGGCCACTAAACAAAAGTTCCTATTTATCAACTTAAGGGCAGAGAATGGGGACAAAGAACACAGTGTCTGATGGATACTAGAAGGAAGAAGGACCTATATTTGCTCACTACAAAAGGAATCAGTTTAATCCTCAGCAAGAACATAAATCTTGTGGGCTGGTGTCAAACAGGCTGTTTCTTTGTTACAATATACCAAACCCCATCAGGATCATATTTGTGCATATTTATACCATGTTCAGAAACAGAATGAAAACTTTGGATTGGTCCCAAGACATTCCTTTATTATATAGATTTATATATTTTAATGTCCTCTTCTTTCTATCCTCACTGAGCTCACTCTAACTGCCTGCATGTTATTTCCTCATTTGGCCACACGATGGTGCTGACACTCTTCAGTTCATGCTCACACCAGCTTAATCTTTCAACACAGAGGAAGCTGAGAAACTCAGTCCACGTTCACCCAAAGTAAATCCAGTCATCTATGTATCGGTTTGATTTAATGCCAGTTCCAGTTAATATTAAAAAATATATTTGAGGAAATACTCTAAATGATGACACCCTGATTCTGCTTTGGTCTGTCTGTATTCTTGTCATAGTTTTTGGTGATAGGTATATTTTTACTGTGAATATTTCCCTTCTTTGGTGTTTGTCTGTCATGTCTTGACCTGCGCAGTCTTCAAATCTGGCAGTAAAGTTGAAGAGCAAAGGCTGCATAAATTGCTCATGACAGCAGTTTGTGACGATCAGATAAACCAGGATATCACACTTTACGGCATCTGGGGTTTTCTTTTCCTCCTGACACCTTGTGTAAACGTTGGAATTTGAAAATGAAAACCGCCCCTCATCCTCAGGGATCTTATATGACATAAAAATGATGTTTGCTCATCCACAAATGCTGCTGTAAGTTTTCTGTAGTCAGTCCTCGAAGACGAGATCAATACACACCAAGACAGCGTGTTAAAAAACCTGAATGATAAACTTTAGTATTCTGTGGTCCAAAATATAAATATATATATGTTTTTATTTACATTGTGCATGAGGGAAATACATATTGACATCTACGTTAGAAAAAAAAAATCAAAGGTTATGTTGTACAGGCAGGCCTTTTTCAATTAAGAGGTTGTGACCCATATTGGATCACAAAGGAGTATATATATTTTCTTGTGACCGCTTTTGCATTACAGGTCACACTCACCCATTCACACCACATTCATACACTGATGCCAAAGGCTGCTATGGAAAGCGGTATTAGCTAATCCATTCACACACTGCTGGGTGCAGCCAGCAGGGGCAGGTCAGGCTTGTGTCTTGCTCAAGGACGCATCAGCATGTGGGGAAACTGGATCTGGGATATGGTCCCTTCTTTTACATTATGTAATCAAAAGATATTCTTATAGTTGTGGCATGTACAGTTAAATACTTTGTCTGTTTTTGATCAAATTTTGAGGAGTAATAGCTCATTAAAACAGAAATCTAGTCTCTCACATGATTGGCCTATGGCTCAAAAATACCAAATTACATATTCTCTTTGTCTAAATAATCACAATCATAATGCAGAGGACTGTCAGAAGATACCACTGCTGTAAATCCTGGCTGTTTACAGAGCGCTGTGTAGAAGCATATTTATAGAAAAGGGGAACAATGAGGTAGGAAAAGGTGCGTAAGTAACAGATTCAAAAACTTAGGGGAGCTTCACAAGGATGTTTAGTCTTCTCCTTCCTCTGTATTATTTAGCACCCGTCTACAGCGCCAAAAGTCCCCCCATGGTATAACTAAATGTTGTTCCTTGAGCTGCGTCCCCCCGCAACAGTCCGTAATGGACTGGCCCAGGGTTTTGCTACAAATAAGCAGCTGCAAACATCGTCTATTTGCGTTGGTCCCGGTGTGACCTTACGGAAGGACGCAAGGGACTAAGATGCAATTAAAAGACTCAAATGAGGGATGCAAGTAAAATACTTACTGGATATGAGCCTCTACTTCCCTTGAGCTCATTATAAATCTCTGACAGGCACTCAAACATGTTTAATTTGATGGCTGCTGTGGACCTGATCATCTCCTACTCTCTGTGAGCTCACTAACTCAACTATCAACATGTTCGGAGCCACAGTGCCTCAAACATTAAATCCTGATGTGTCTTAATTTAGCAGAGAGGCTGAACAGGAGTGTTCAAAAGCTCATCCTGATAAACTATTTGCATAATTTGGATAATGAATAAGTAGCAGTGAGAAGTCAGCTATATCTTTTTTTGAGTCTGAGAAACACATCCACCTCAGACAGCACCTGTCTGTTTCTATTAGAAAGTGTATTTTTCCCCCATTTACCTTAATGTTTCACAATAACAAGAGCTTGTTCTAATGCAGCCCTGTAAATCCGCTGCAGATTCACCCGCGGTCATAAATTACAAGCAGACAACGTGTGATTGCCTCTCAAAGGGAAAACAAGTGGATGAGACAGGTTTAGTGAGAATTATTCAAATGAATTGCTCTTGTTTGCATAGAGAAAAGGGGATTTTGGAAAGATTGGCTGCCTAGAAAGGAAAGAGTAATTCTTTTTTTTTTGCAGCCAACGTATTTATGAGCGCGGAGTTAATTCCCATATTCACAGAGACATGTCAGAACTCGGGACGTGCTTCTCCTCCTCTTCCTCATGTCTGCAGGCGTCTGTCTGTGATTGACTGAGGCTCACTTTAAGATTGTGACACTTTTTAATTCAGTCTGGGCTGTTTGTCAGCATTATGATGCCTGCACATCATAAAAGCTGTGTCACAGACAATAAAGAGTGCTGTTATTATGATTCTCTTTTATGGCTCTGAGATTTAAACACAGTAAACAGCTTCTCTTTGTTTGCCATTTAAAGAGAGCTGCCCTCAGCTCTCGGCCCCTTTATGGACCAGCCTCTCCTGCATGAACATTAAAACTACGGCACAAGCCTGCCCTGAACTTCTATCTTTAAAAAGTATTATTTGTAGTTTTAAAACTGGACTTGAAGGTACAGAAAGTATGAAATGTTTTAATGATTTGTTGCAGCCGTCACCTTTGAAATGAGCTGAAATGGTT